GCAGGGAACCTGCTTCCTCCTCTCTCTCTGCCTGCCTCTCTGCCTACTTGTGATCTCTGTCTGTCAAATAAATAAATAAAATCTTAAAAAAAAAAAAAAGATTTTATTTATTTATTTGACAGAGAGAGAAATCACAAGTAGAGCAACAGGCAGAGAGAAAGAGGGGGAAGCAGGCTCCCTGCTGAGCAGAGAGACCGATGCAGGGCTCGATCCCAGGACCCTGGGATCATGACCTGAGCCGAAGGCAGAGGCTTAAACCACTGAGCCACCCAGGCGCCCCAAGGGTCAGTCTTAACTGGGGACAGAGGGTAGGACAGGAGGCAGTGAAAGGATGGGGAGGACCAGGCAGGGGAACCGGGCAGCAGCTCCCAAGTACAGGGACAGGCAGGACTCTAAGTGAGGAACCCGCAGAGAGGCCCAGCACCCTCCCAGAAGGCTCCCATCTCCATCCTCCCCCGGTCCGCAGTCTGCTGCTTCTAGAAGTGGCAGTGCAAGGGGACACAAGGGGACACCCACCGGGACAGGTCCCTGATGGCGGCAGCAGCCGGTACACTTTGTAGGGCTCAGCGCCGTCCCTATGGCCGCTCTCAGGAACCTCCTCAAATTCAGAACTCTTGTTGAGGGCACAGCGCAGACGTGTCTTCCAGATGGCAGGGCCTTCTGTGTCCCCTTCCTTGTACTTCCCCTTAAACATCGCCCATGCCTTCAAGACACAGGAAGTAAAGCAGAGGCAGCATGTCACACACCCCACTCCCCAGTAGAGGGGGCCAGCGACTTTGGGGATACACCGCCTGAGCACATGCACAGAAGAGCCAGCGCTCAGGTTTATGCTGCCTCCAAATACTTCACAGCTTCTGCGCTTTCACTTTGTATCAGGCTGTGTCCATTCTGCTGGTTCTACCCTCCCACCTCCCCTTTCTCTGTAACCCAGGCCAACACAAGCCCTGGAGGTTGAGAGTTTCGGTGTACAGGCCACCCTTGCCTCGGAGGGGCTAGTTTCCGAGCTCTTTCACCTTGAAGAAGGCAGCATCCTGGTCCTCCCGGAAGTCCTGCTTGCCCGCGTGCTTCCAGGGGATCCGGAACATGGTCTTGGCGGCATCCTCCCAGCACACCCCAGGAAACTGCCCGCTCTCCACTTGCTCTACAACCCAGTTCCGCAGCTTTCGGGTGCAGCGTGCCCTGCCTGATGCCATCCTGGGGACAAGGGTCGCAGGCAGCATCAGTGGAACCGACGCCGTGGGAGGGCACATCTGCCAAGGTCCTCACAAATGGGGTTGGGTCCTGGCAAGGGCCCTCAGGGATCCCATTCATCTACTGTCTGTAGACATTTCTCAAAATTCTGGGGCCAAATTGTGTTGTTTCTCCCTTCACTAGTAATGATAAAGAAAATACATCCCTTTTAACATCTCAAGCTATGACACCTGGAAAGAAATCTTCGTTGATCTTAGTTTTAAGACTTTTGAGGAATCTGCTGCCTGCAGAGATCTCCCTCGGTGTGGCTCATGGGAAGAGGCCTGGTCTCTACCCAAGCATCAGCAGAGGCAGTTTCAGCTTCTGCGATAACCCCATCGATCCCTCACCCGCCACCCCCATAACCTAAGTTGACCCCACCAACCCTTCCCCTCTGCTTGCCTCTGGGGTAGGTGGGGCAGGGCTTCGGCGGAAGTGGGCAGGGCCAGAAGGCAAGAAAACAAACAGGGGCCGCTCGGCTCCATCCCGGGTTGAGACTTCCCTCCTCAACAATCTAGCAGTAGGGTCTCCTGTCCTTTGCTTCTAGGGCTGGGAACACTGGCCCCAGGTCAGGCTCTCACTCAGGCCAAACCGCCCCGCGTTCCATTTCACATGCCATTTGTACAGTCCTGTTCCGCGGAGGCGCCCCAGGAGCCCCTGCCCCCTACCTCCCGCCTCCGATCCCGCCCGGCCTTCCAGCTCTAGACCAGGCTGGCTTCCACTCTCCCTCTTACCTGCGCGGCTCGCTGGCTGTCCCAGGACGCAGCAAGCTGCCCTCGGCTCAGCAGCCGTCCAGGCAGCGTCCTGATTTCTCCGCCCCTTCCTACAGTCCCCACCCTAAGTTTCAGTTCTCCTCCAGGCAGGGCCGCTTCTCAGAAATCACGTGGTCCAAGCTGCAGGGCAACCGCGCGCCACCACGAGGCAGCAAGCATATGAGGACTTCACTGTTGAAATTCCACTGTTGGGACACCGGAGGGCCCCTCCCCGCTCAGGCTAATTTCCATACCCTCCCACCCCCTTAGCTACTCCCTGATCTCTGCTCCACTGCTGCTTGCTTTGCCTGGAGGCCGAGGTTGTGGAGTCTGGCCTGAGGCCTCTGGCTGGCTCTATACCACCCATGCTTCTACTATCCCTCCTCATGCCTGCCTGGTGCCTAGTAGAAGACCTCAGATACCAGTCGAATTGGATGAAGGAACAAAGGAGGCTGCAGAGGAGAAAGCCCAGGCAGGGTGGCTGACTGGGGAGGGCCTCCTTGGCCATCCAGGGTGTTAATTCCTTCCTGGCCCGGAGTCCAAGGAGGGTCAGGCGGTGGACTGTAAGCGACCCTTCTAGCAAAGCTCTCAGTTCACCCACCCTCTCTCCCTGTGCCCCAGATGGTGGGGCCAGAAGAAGGACCACCAAAAAGCCTGGGCAAGGAGATGCTTCTTTATTGGTGCTGGAGTTGTTCCTCAGGAGGCTGGGCCTCGAGACCCTCAGGAGGATCCTTGCCCTCGGCTACTTCCTCCTTCGAGGGATACTGTGTCCCAAGGGCACTTCTTCTATCAGCTTCTGCAGAAGGAGAGAGAAAAGGATGCCACTGGAAGCCTAGGGCTCAGACATAGGCTGGACAGGGGCTTCTAGAGCATGGGTCAGAGGTGAGGCTGGAGGGGAGGCTTTACCTGTAATAGACGGGCATGGTAGGCAGCAGTGTCCTCCCCGGCAATGGGCTGTGGGCGCACATGCAGGTAGCGCTCCACAGCCGTCTCCAGCTCCTCTACCTCATACAGGGTGGCGGGGTCCAGCGAGTGGGCATTAATGAGGCTCACAAGATATTCTTTGTAGTGTGCCCTGGAGAGAGGACAGGGTGGAATCATTGTTCTTCTGTTTGGCTAATATCGAGCCAGGGTACCCTGTGCATTGCCAGTAACTGGCACACTCACACGAACGAGACTGACAACTCTTGCCACTTACACGGGTAGGCACCGTCTCCCTGTGCACGCTGCCGGCTCCTACCTAGCCACACCCTTGCCCAGAGAGCCCCCCTCTTGCTTCCCCTGCAGGACCCACTATTCCAGGAGACCCCCTTCACTCCCCAGGTGTATCCTCCCCAACACTATGCTCCATGCCATGCCTGACACTCACTGGCAGAGGCCAGCATGGCCAGCCGGAGTCTCCTTGCCACAAGCTTCATCTCGGAACCCGTTAGGAACCTCTTTCTGCTCCATCACCCGGCAGCCACCTAAGGGTAAGGGAAGGAAGGGATCCTTGTGCTGGGAGGAGGTCACTAACCATGAAGCCTCCAAAGAACCGGGATATCAAAGGAGGCAGCACAGGTCGAACTTGGACCACACACCTGAGCCTCCCCTTTACCCACAACACAGTGGGAGCCCAGCCTGCCCTCACCCCCCTCCCAGGCTTGTCCCAACACTCACCGCCAGGTACCGCCCGGGCCCCCGCTGGGGGCTCTGTGTTGAACATGACATTATTGTCCTAAGGAGGAGCAGATGAATGGGCGTTAGGTTCCCCTTGACGCCAGTCCTGCTGCATTTCCCAGCAGAGAGCCTTTCCTTTCTTGCCCCCCAGGGCCCTGCCTCCCACCCTGGGCAATCTGCGAACCCAACCAGGCTGGCCAGCCCTGACCTGTAGCAGCTTCTGGAGCCGGAGAGCAGTCCAGTCCCGCAGGTAGAAGAGGCAGTCTCGTGGGTGGTGGCCATGCAGGGACTTTTTCACCCTGCAGTTAGGGTCTGGACATTTCTGGCAGAAACCCAGATGGGAGAGGGAAAGTTGGAGACGGGTGGGGTCCTGGCTTCTCAGAACCCCTGCATGAGGGGTGTAGGGATGGGGGAAGATGGAGACATTGGAGGGTCTGGAGCAAGCAGAAGGGGGGAGGGGACAGAGAGGTGCTTTACACCCCACTGGCCTCCCCTTCTTTTCCCCTAGGCTATTTCTCCATGCCTTTGCCCCCCACCCCCACCCGATGGCAGCGGCCCACTCTCCTGTTCCTTCCTTCCCCATCTCCAGGCTCACATTCTTGGCGTAAAAGGCATTGTAGCAGCCACTGCAGAACTGGTGGCGGCACTGGGTGCAGTGAAAGTGCATGCAGCCTCCTCGGGCCAGTGCGTACGAGAACTTGCACTTGGGGCAGTCTGCAAAGGATGGCAGGTCAGGGCTGGGGCTGCCACTGCTCCTCTAGACTCTCAGGACGAGAGGCTGGCAGTGACAAATGACCGGGCAAACAGGCCTCGCGGTCCGCCCTTACCAATGCCGTTCTCCTGAAGATACATGGCTAGGCCCTGGGCCTGGTATTCTGGGTCATTGGTGCGTTTCCAGTTCTGGAAATCCTCGCAGCTCCGGCCTCGGTGCTGCTCCTCCCACTGCAGGAGGGAAAGCAAACTTCACCTGAAAATTCCACCCTAGGCCCTTCCTGAGGGCCCCGCCTGTCATACCTAGTGCTCTCTGGCTGAGTTTAGGGCACTGTCCTTCACCATTGGCTCCCATCTCAAACCAAGAGGCCAGTCTCGGTTCTTTCACGTCCTCGTCCTGGCACATATTCACTGGCAGTTCTTTGGTCCACCCCCAAGCCTATCTCAGCGCTGTTCCTTTCTCTTTATCCCTACTGTGGCCGTGCTACTTCAAGCCAGGTCAGGTCTGGCCTCTGTTCCCGGTGTCTCTGCCTCCACCCCTGCTGGCCTGCAATGCAGGCTCCACCTGGTGGCCAAGAGGCCTTGGAGAGTGTAAGGCAGGCAGCTTCCACAGCACTGGGAGTGTTCCAGCTTCAAGATTTAGTGGGAGGGTCTCAGGTGGTCATTTTGTTATTACTGTTTTGTAATACAGATGTCACCTTTTGGTATCCATCATTAAACTTTTTAGAATATGTGGTGCCAAAATGAGCGCTCAAATATTAAACTTCTTAAAAGGCAAATGAGATAGTATCACCCCTTGCTTAGTCTTAGAATAAAAGGCAAATACCTTCCTCACTCGGCCTCAAGGCCTCTCCTGATCTGGCAGCTAGCTCCTCTCCGACTGCCTGCCACTCTCACCCTTGCTCTTGGGGCTCCAGCCACACAATACTTTTTCTGACTTTGGCCTTTCCATGTGTTGTTCTTTCTGGCCCGAATATCCTTTGCAAAGTTGGCTTCTTCTTAACTTTCAGGCCTGAGCTTAAATTAAAGCATTTTTATTTTTATTTTTTTTTAAAGATTTTATTTATTTATTTGACAGACAGAGATCAAAAGTAGACGGAGAGTCAGGCAGAGAGAGAGAGAGAGAGAGAGGGAAGCAGGCTTCTTGCTGAGCAGAGAGCCTGATGCGGGACTCCATCCCAGGACCCTGAGATCACGACCTGAGCTGAAGGCAGCGGCTTAACCCACTGAGCCACCCAGGTGCCCCAAATTAAAGCATTTTTAGAGAAGACTTGTTTGACTTCTCTATCCTACGTAAGTCCCTTCCATTATTCCTAATCTCAAATTCCTGTGTTTGTTTTTTTTTTTTTACAGAACTCATACATGTGTATTTATGCTCTCTCCCTCCCATACTCCCTTTCCCTCCTTCCTCCTCACCTTTCCTTTACCTCCCCTCCCTCCCTCTCCCTTCCTTCCTCTGTTTCCTTACCTTTCACCCTCCCTCCCCCTCAGCCTCCCTCTCTCCCTCTGTCCCTCCCTCCTTTCCTGACTAGTCTGCAGGCTCCTTGAGGCCAGAGCTCATGTCTGTTCCATGCTTTGCTATACCCTGAGTCTGATGTAGTATATGCCAGTAGCTTATCAAGTTCTTTTTCAAAGGATCAATGTGCCTCACCTGGCGCTTACAGCGCACACAGAAGGTCTGGTGACACTGGGGACACGTTGCTTCCAGCTGCTCCCGTTCATATATGAAGCCAAAGGAGCACTATAGGTACAAGAGCATAAAGCTATATGAGACCTGATCTGGCACCCTGCCCTCCTCCACCCGCTCCAGTCAGCAACCCAAGGCAGGCCACTTACCTGAGCACACCACAAGAACTTGGGGTCCCGCATGAGCACACCCTCAGTCAGCTTCTTGTGAAACAGTGCATAGGCATCTGGCTCTAGGCTCTCTCGCAGCTGGGGACAGGAGGCAGAAGTGGTGGGTGTGCAGGGTTCCTGTTCAAAGCCCAGGGCACCCCGAGTCCTAGGGACTGCAGTACCTGGATGTCAAGGGTAGAGAAGTAGCTGAGCAGCTGCGTGTCATCAGTGAGGTCGGGGCGGCCACAGGCAGGGCACACCATGTCAGTGATGTGCTTCTCCTTCAAGGCGATGGTGAAGTGCTGGCGGAAGCAGTCAGGGCAGATGGTGCACTCACAGGAAGTCAGGGCCTGCATCTGCAGGGTGAGGCCAAGAGAGGAGGGGGTCTGAAGCCATCGCTGCCAACCTGGGGAGGGGGCAGTAGCCAGGGGTCCACTGAGAAACCCGAGTCTAATGAACGACTGCCAAGGTAGCAACTTCCAACAAGTGCCTGGCGGGCAACCTAAGTGTCTGAAGACTCTCATGGCAGAAAACAGTGGTGAGGCCTACAGTAAATGAAGAGTGCTCTCAGGAAGGTATTTGCATCCAACTAGAAGCAAACAAATAACATCCCTGAACTGACAAAACTCTAGAGATGGAGGGGCGCCTGGGCAGCTCAGTTAGGCGCCTGCCTTTGCCTTGGTTCATGATCCCGGGATCCTGGGATGGAGTTCCACATTGGGCTCCCTGCTCAGCAGGGAGCCTGCTTCTCCCTCTCTCACTGCTGCTCCCCTTGCTTCTGTGCTGTGACAAATAAAATCTTTCAAACAAACAAAGTACAGTGATGGAGATCAGACTAGTAGTTGTCAGGTGACAGGAGGAAGGGAAGAAAGTTGCAACTATAAAAGGGCGGCTTGAGGGGGATCCTTTGAGGTGATGGGACAATCTGTATCTTGTTGGTTACATGAACCTATATGCGGAATGAAACAGCACAGAGCCACATACACATCCATGTGAAAAATGAACAA